AGTGACCCAGACACACACAGACACCCCCATCTCTCCAGCAGTGATCCAGACACACACAGACACCCCCATCCCTCCAGCAGTGACCCAGACACACACAAAGACACCCCCATCTCTCCAGCAGTGACCCAGACACCCCGATCCCTCCATTAGTGACACAGACACCCCCATCTCTCCAGCAGTGACCCAGACACACACACACACCCCCATCTCTCCAGCAGTGACCCAGACACCCCCATCTCTCCAGCAGTGACCCAGACAGACAGAGGCAATGTTGGAACAGGATCTTTATTGGGGTGCAGTGGGGTACAGAAGCTAAGAGTTGGCGTTGGGGCCCTTCTTCTTGCCGAAGGTCTGCACCACGTTGACGAAGCGCCGGTTGTACTGCATCCTGCGCTTGGCACGGCCAGTCTTCTTCTTCTTCTTCTCCTGCTTGTCCACCTGGGGGACAGAGAGAGGGGTCAGTACAGAGAGGTCAGGACACAGAGAGGGGTCAGGACACAGAGAGGTCAGGACACAGAGAGGGGTCAGGACACAGAGAGGGGACAGAGAGAGGTCAGGGAAGAGAGAGGGGTCAGGGAAGAGAGAGGGGTCAGGACAGAGAGGTCAGGACACAGAGAGGGGACAGTGAGAGGGGTCAGGACAGAGAGAGGGGGCCTGAAGAGTCTAACAGGAAACAAGAGTGTGACGGGGACCTACCTTGGGAGTTTGCCCTCTGACCTTTCCGGCTCTGGCCAGAGACCCGTGCACCTTGCCTGCACAGAGGGGGAGGGGGAGACAGAGAGAGAGGTCATGAGTGGCCGCAGTCTGCCTGAGGCCTGTTTCTCCAGCACGGAGAGAGAGACAGTCTCGCTCAATTACTGCGCCCGAGGGCCTGGCCCCACCGAGGGTAAGTCAGGGCTCGTGCCCACCCTGGGAAAACAGATACCCACACCGCAGTCTACACAGATATTCCGAGAGAGAGACAGGTATGCCCAGTATGTGATCTCCTGTCCCAGCCTGAGGAACAGTGAGTCTGTCTCCCAATAATGCTCCAGCCACCTACAGTATATGTCAATATTTTATCATATGTCTTTGTTGTAAATGTCTGTAGGTTTTATTTTACTTCTATTTTTTGTTTTGTTCCATGTTAATTTTATTATTTTTATTTGCTTTGGCAACACTGATTGTACCCATCGGTCATGCTAATAAAGCACCTTGAATTGAATTGAATTGA